GTCCTAGTTTGGAACAAACAACTGGAAAAGTTATTTTTGGAACAACGGGAAAATTTAAATATGGATGGTATTAGATATTATGAAATTTGACATGGAAAAGTGGAGTTATGAACTGAATAAAGCAACTTACAGCATGTTCTTATTTTGGTTTAAAATACCTCGGGGCCGGCCCTGTGGCCTAGTGGTTAAGTTCGGCGCGCTCTTCAGGGGCCCAGGTTCGGTTCCTGGGCGCAGACCTACACCACTCATTGGCAGCCATGCTGTGGCAGCGACCCACATACAAAATAGAGGAAGACTGACAACAGATGTTAGCTCAGAGTGAAGCTTCCTCAGCAAAAAAAATACCTAACTGTATATTTATACACAGCAAATAACTGGCAGGACATAAATATAAATACTCACATACCAAATACACCCATACATGAAGATAACAGTGGTAATCTCCAAAAGACTGGAATATGGCATTTTTATTTCATTTTTTAAATCTATACCTTCTAACTTATTAATGCCTATGTACTATGTCATAAAAATACACAAAAACTTAAAAATAACATCTGTATTTTTATTAAACCAGAAATTAAAACCTCTGTATCTGTTTGCTCTGTGTCTTAAGTTTGTGAAATAAGCACATGTGAAATAATGATTGTGAGGATGGTTTGACTTTTCACTTTTATTTTATGAAGTGTTTAAAATAAATAAACTTTGCTTTCAAACATATGGAGTTCTAAATATTAAAGCTTCATGATAAAAACTAAAATGATCACAGACTCTGAGGAACAAAGCAAAAAAAGTCCAGATTTATAAGAATATTTTGAAAAGGCACCTATATTTACAGAGTTTAAAACAGCAATAGTATGCCCTCACCATTTAAATATTATTCTTCTCAACTGAAAAAAAAACCTTTAGATAAAAAGTTAAGAAGGCAATTAGAGAAACAATTCAAATGTCTGCTCTTACTATGTATCAGTGTTAAATACTTTACAGATATTCTTTAATCTTCACAACAGCTCTCCTTGGAAAGTGTCATTCTCTCTATTTCATTGATGATAAAATCAAGATTTAAAGAACTGTATCCAGAATATATAAAGAAACTCCTACTTGGTAATCATTTCCCAAAAATATACACAGCAAACCATTATGTAGTATACCTAAAACTAATACAGTGTTGTATGTCAATTATATCTCAATTTAAAACACAAAAAAACTCCTACAAATTGATGTAAAAAACAAAAAACAACCCAACAGAAAAATGGCAAGAGACATAAACATTTCACAAAAGATATGAAAACACCCAATAAACATGTAACAAGATGAGCATTCTGCCATAAGGGAAATGCAAATTAAAATCACAGAGATCCCTCTACACACCCACCGGAATGGCTAAAACTTAAGAACAATTCTAAGGAGTGGAAAAGAACATTCCACGTGATAAATGTAGCACGAGCTAAGGCAGGAGTATTGAAGCTGGTACAAACGTTCACATAAGTCAACAGTGGGTAGTTCAGTTTGGAATGGGCATAGAGAGGTGAACGATAAAAAAAGTATTCTGGAAAAGCAGCTAGGAATCAGATCTTGGAGGGTCTTCAAGGCCAAGATAAGGACTTCAACCTATATATGATCACAATGCAGAATCATGACATGCATGACACAAATTAATTGAGTTTTAGGGTATATAAAAGGCTGCCTCGTATAGAATGTTCCAAAGGAGGAAGGACACAGAAACTTCAAAAACTTTCTCTCTCATACCCTGCATTCAATTTCTCTATCCTCCACAATCTGGTTTTACCTCACTGCTCAACCGCTTTCTTCCAAAATCTCCATCTGCACTCTCCAACCTAGCCAGACTCTCTTTCTCTTCACTCACCACCAGGTGAACTCGTCACAGTCAGACCATCACCTGCAGGGCTCTGCTGCTTCCCCTAGGCCTCTCTCCATTTAAATCCAGGGCATTTCTGGAGGCCCAGGAGATGTCTATCTGTCCACTCCAGATCTCTTTTCCTACCCCAGCCTGTCCTCATCTCCTCCTGAGTCCCTAAGGTTCCTATGTGGGTTCTATACCACATAATTTGAACACCTAACTAGAATCCTCATTTTGTTCTTGACTCTCCAAAAGACCATAAACCCCTGGATAGAAGGGTTCACTTTTGTATCCCCCACAGCACCTTGCATCAAAGGATATACACTAACTAGTTGTTAGTTCCTCTTGATAACAGAAATGCAAACATACCCTTTGATCCAGCAATTCCAATTCTAGAAATGTAGCCTGATATACTCACATAAATATGCAGAAATATTATGATCAAAGATATGCACTGTAGATTATAACAATAAAAACTAGAAATAACCTAAATGTCTATTAAGAAAGACTAGTTCATTTGAGTTTATACTGCCCATTAAAAAAACAAAATTGGAATATCTATACAAATGGACCATAACAAAGTAGTAAGTGAAAAGTTGCAGGAAAGGGTGTAAAACAGGTCCTATTTTATTTACTTATTTATATATACACACCATTTAGAAGAACACAAAGTTTTAGAATGATAATCTCTGGTAAGTAGGATGGACTTGTTACTTTAGAAACACTTCTATTTTGAAAAAAATTGAACAAAGAGCACATAAATGTTTATAGTAAAAAATATTTATATATTTTCACTCCTTGCCCCAAAAGAGTAATTTACAAAACAATTGATAGTATGAATCCATTTTGCTTAAAACAAGAGCAACAATATACTGGACATATGTACCAAAATAAGTATTTAGGACTTATGCCAACAGTTAATAGTTATTTCTAGAAGAGGGATTACAGGAAACTTGCACATTCTAGGTTTTGACAATAGTTTTTCTTTAAATAATAAGCCCTTACTTTAGTTACAAAAAATAAAGATTATTTTTTAAAAATCTGAGCTAGACCATCCCAGAAACACAAGCATTTTGGTCCACTTAGCAATTAGTTAATCGTAAGAGAATCAGCTTAATTGTTAGATTGTCCACTATAGTAAATGTGAGTCAGCATTACAGGTATATCATGCCTACAAATCAAATTCACAGAAGTTAACAGAAAAACGACTTCTCTGCTAAATAAGTATTAAATGTCTGTTTGGTGAAGGTAATCTCTCTAACCTCTAACAGTGACTTAATTACTATAAAGGGCTGGACATTGCACTGGTCCCTCATAATACAACGTTCTGTTTTTAAACATCTCTTACACGTCTAGAGTCAAGCATAAACTTGCCTGGGGCCCTCGTCTCAAGGCCAGGGCTTGAGATGAGACAGGAATCTCTACATGCTTTTACCCAGAAGAATGAGAGGAAGAAACTGTGAGAACCACTAAATCACACAGAAGCCCCCAGGGGAGCACTGGATTCCCTCTCCTTGGATCTGTGCTTCTACAGGATATCACAGCTCTTACAGTTCCCCCATATGCCCTACTCCAGTGCCGGGCTTACAAGGGTCTGACTTAAGGCATCAAAGCCCTCTTACCAAGGCTTTGCCAAAAACAGAGGGAGCAGAGCTGTCTGTCTTGACTACAGTCTATTGCTCCAAACCTTCTCCATATCAGCATTGACCCTGAAATCCAATTGCCTTTTTGTTTTCCCTTTAAACTTACTGCCCAATATAACAGCTCATCGCTATTGACACGAAGGGCTTTACATGTATTACAACTCATTTACAGTCACAATAACCCTGCGAAGTATTCCTATTTTACAGATAAAGAAACTGAAATACAAGGTCAGATAACTAGTAAGTGGCAAAGCTAGGATTTAAACCCAGAGATTCTGATTCCTGGGTCTAAACTTTACTATGTGACACTCACTATCTCTATGATAAACTGCCTTCAATCTAGAAAACTCTAGAAATCTTCAGTCAGTAAAGTGCTTAGGTTTTAGTAACAAATCTGAAAGTCAACAGGCTACCTGGCTCACGTTTACTCTTGCAAATGCTGTTGATCCGGCTATTACCAGATAGTTGAGAACTATGATATTTAATTTGCAAAATGTTTATGTTTGCCAATGCTTTTCTGAACTTTTGAAATGCTGTGTACCGTAATAATGAAACACCCAACCTCCTAACCAAGTCAACCATGTCTAGGTTCAGATTCTCGTTCTGTCTCTGTTTTCCTTCACCTGTAAATAAGCTATAAAGGTGTATGTAAACAACTTAGCATAGTGAATGGAGAGTAAGGAGTCAAGTCCTCTACTTTTATTCTTTAATTGTTTTACCACCAACACTCCCAGGATGTGGAAAAATTGTCAAGTTCAAAGCAAATTCAGTACCCTAAACAAAACCCAGGAATTCATGTGTTAACTGAAAACAACTCTAAAAGTTAAAAAATTATGCATTCCGTTTAAATTTATAAACTGACAAACCAGAAGTTCTACCCAACAGAAACACAATAAAAACCGGTAAACAAAAAATATATTTAATATTACAAAATTATCACACAAGTCAACTACTACATGAGCATGAATGCTAGTAACAATTAGCCTCCAACACTTATTCCCTCTATTTCCATCTGAATCACAATAATTTGAAACTAAAACTCCTTGAGTGTTGTATCTTTAAAACGTTTTATATAGCCACTAACTAATGTTTTATTGGAAAATCTCGGGCACTTTCAATGGATTAAAAATGCACAACGGACAGGCTGATCTTTACTTTGGTGCCTAATGTTCTGCTGTTAGAGACTAGTCTGCGGTTGGAGGCCTAACAGCTAACATTTCAGGTAGTGCTTACTCTTCTCCAGGTGGAATGCATACAACATATCAAGTCACTTAGTCCTCACAACAACTCCATACGGCAAGGACTAATACCTATCCTCGTTTTTTCAGATGAGGAAACTGAGGCACGAGAGGTTAAGTGACAAGCCTAAGGGCTCAGAGCTAGGAAATCAGAGGCGGACTGTAAACCATCCTCCGTCTACAGTCCAGCCCTTGTAACTCTTCAGAGCTCTGGGGAGCGGCACGTCAATGACACCGTAAAACGTGGAAGAAATACAGTACCAGTGGGAAGCAGGGGTTCCAACGGGGTAAAGGCATGCTCCATATCGGATTATTGGCCTCTGCGCTAAAAAAATAAAAATGCCACGTTAGAATTTCTCCTGTCTAATTAAACAGCGCGCGAACTCGCCAGAACCTCTGGCCGCTTTAATGCAATGCTCCGGGAGGCGTGCTAAGGGGCGGACCTTGGAGCGAGCCCGGCGCTCGGCGTTCCAGCCCGGGCGCGACTCGGCCGGGGGCGCCGCGCGGGGAGGAGCGAGGACGCGGGAGGCCGGAGC